AAAAAAAAAAAAAAAAAAAAAAAAAAAAAAAAAAAAAAAAAAAAACTGTTAACTTAAAAATAAATTTGTAAAATACTAACCAAGAAAATACCAACATTTGAATTGTAATTTAAGGTTATGGAAATATAGGCTTTTTTAATTATTTATTTATATTTTTTAATTTGTCGTATAAAAAAACAATACTTAGATTAAATAAAAAAAACGAATCAAAGTTTAGGAGTGTGAGGTCGCTACGTCATTTTAGAATATTTATCGTACTCAAAAGTGGCGTCAATATCGCGTATTTCGTTTCCGAAAGAAAATAAAGAATATGTGTGTGTTTTTAAATTTTTAAATAATGCACATACCAGACGGACATTAAAATAAAAATTTGTCATCTACCCTATTCATTAGAATTAGAAGTATACAAATATAGCTTTTGAAACCCAACTTTGGAAAGAAAGAATGAGAAGAAGGAAGAAAGATAAAACGATTATGCAGCACCAGGCATGATGCAACATAAATACATATAATAAAGAAACGTGACAATAATAGATAGCGTGACAGTGAATGTAACATAAACAGTGAGTAAAATAATTAAAAAAGGAGAATCACAAAAGAAGCTCTAACAGCATGCTTATGCTAAATGGGGTTATCCAGTTATTTTTACTAAATGTACCTGTTGAGACAGCTGTCGATGCTTGAGATGAGCGGTTCCAGAACCAGTGTAGAAAGCCCCTAGTTCCAGTGAGTCGGAACTGTGCCGCTGAGTGCCGAGTGAGTCGGGTGAGCGGTGCAGGGCGATACTCCAGTGAGTCGGAGAGATGAGTTCGCAGTGTCCCACGGTGAGTCGGGGAATAGATGCTGCGAGGGTAGGTGCGTAGTGGCTGGCGTCTGCGTTGACAGGAGGAGATGTCCTTCAGAATCGTGTGCAGAAGTGCTGTGCCTAGACGCTAGTGAGGCCGTAGGGAAGAACCAGGCTGCACATCTTCGTTGCAGACGATAGTGGTCCCTGATGAAGCCGAGGATGCTGGTTGGCTGCGACTTGATTACCGCTCAGCGGAGAAGTGATGCATGAGAGGGATGGCGATAAGGATGAGGGTCCTGATCTGCTCCATGAAGTGAAGGTAGCTTCCAATCACGTCGGGGTCACCACTTTAGGGAACAGAGAGTAAAGTTCCCTAAGATCGGAAAAGGAGGATCCTCCGACCAGGCTAGGTGATCGTGCCTGGCGGGCTTTCTGCCCAACAGTTGTTCGTTGGGATTTTCTATCTGTGTTAATTTGCATGTGCGATGTAGGATTTTATGACGTCGTCTGTTGACTTAAGGTAACTTATTAAAGATTTTGGGTGCCATACCTAGAATGTTTTTGTGCGCAGATCCTATATTTGTGACGTTTACTTTTTGGGTGGGTGAACATGTGGATGTTAGTTTTTACGTAGCTGGCAACCTCAAATATGTACAGGGAGGGCAGAGTTAATAGTTTTAGCTCTTGAAAAAATATGGTTTGCAGCTGACTGTGCTTTGTACCACATATTACCCTGATGCATTTCTTCTGTGTTTTAAATGCCATTTCTCTATCCAGCGAATTTCTCCAGAACAGAAGCCCGTATCGCAATGTTGACGAGACATAGCCGTGGTACGCCGTAATTAATGTTTCCTGATTTGCCACTTTTCTTAAGTTGTAGAGCGCGAAGGAGGACTGGCTAATCTACCTAAGAATTTAGCATGGTCAGCCTCTTCAATATTTTTCCCGGCATATCCTACGTGAAACCTTTTACAACCAATTCTTTGTGCAAATGATGTGTATGTACGTTGTTTTATCAGATTAACTTTCAATTTATTTGCAGTTAGCCTATGATGTCGTTTAGGTTATCATTAATTTCTCTTTCAAAGGTATCGTCATTATTATTTTTAAACAATATAAGTAGTGCTATCGTCCACGAATAAGATCATGGGATTGGTGATCATTCTATCATGGTCATGGGATTGGCATGTCATTTATGTAAATGATCAAAAGTAGTGGTGCGAGGACACTACCCTGTGGCACACTGCCCGCATAAACATTTCCGATATTTAGAAGTTGCGTTATTTCGATTTTTATTTTTTTAATACATGTGTACTGTTGCCTGTTTGTAAGATAGGACTTAATAAGCTCTTGAGTGTTCCATTAGAGGAATGGAATATTTTTCTAACTTCATCAGTAGAATTTCATGGCTGACATGATCTAAGGCCTTAGTCATATCCATAAGTAATGCAACCATGGGAACTTTCTTGTCCATGTTCATAAGGGTGCACTCCACCAGCTCATAGATAGCTGAATTTATACTTTTATTTAATGAATGAATGAATGAATGTCATTTATTTCCAAGTATATGGTACATTGAGGTTTTACATTAAATATTGTTTCACATACACTACCATTGCTGGTGTAGAAATATTATGTTAACCATGCTTTATAAAATAAAATAAAATAATAATAAAAAAAAAAAACTAGTAATTACAATAATGCCAAGTAAATTGAATCACACATTATAAGAATTTGGTTGGTACATGTCATTAAATAGAAGTAACAAAATATTTCATAAAATGTTTAAATGCTAAATACAATGTCAATATGTCAAAACGTAAATTGTCAAAATACTAAACTAAAATACTAAATACAATGTCAGTAAATGTAAAAAAAAAATTAAATTCAATGTCAAAATACTAAATACAATGTCATAATATAATATATTAGAGGTATAATGTCGAAATATTAAATAATGTCAAAACTTGTGATTTAAAAATTCATTAATAGAATAGAAGCACATGTCGAGAAGCCAAGTGAACATACGATATTTAAATTTACTTATTGGTAACATTTTCAGGTCAGGTGATAATTTATTATAAATTTTAATTGCCATGCAATGTACATTATTACTGTATAAATGTAATCTTTGTCTAGGTACCAGTAGTTTTCCAGGATTTTTATTATTTAATCTAACAGAGATCTGTTCATTTAATGGAAATAAATGTGAGTACTTTTTTACAAAAACACAAATTTCATAAATGTAAAGGCATGGCAGAGGAAGTACTTTTAGTTCCTTGAATAATGGTCTGCAATGATCCAAATATTCAGCGCCACCTATGGCTCTGATACATTTTTTTTGCACTATAAAAGCTCTTTGCACATCTACTGAGTTGCCCCATATCACTAAACCGTAACGCAACACCGATGAAACATAACCGTGATAGGCATTTAGACTTGTTTCTTTACTGGATATTCTGAAACCATATTGTTCTCATATTATAAGTTTGCTTAGCTTCTAAAAAAGAATATATGTCATTTTGCATTATTTTTTTTAATATTCTAGAGTATACTGGGATAAGTGTCAGTCTATAATTGGAAGGGATGAGTTTGTCACCTTTCTTAACAATTAGTTTTATTACTGAGATTCTCAGTTTCTCTGGGAATATGCCTTTCTCGATGCAATTGTTGATGATGTGACTGAGTACCGGTGCAATAATAGCAGAGGTAGCTTTAATTACCTTGGCGGGTATATCATCATATCCAACACTATTGGTATAACATAACATAACATAACATCACGCCTTTTATCCCCGGAGGGGTAGGCAGAGGTGCACATTATGCCACTGTACAATGTAACACCCACTTTTCAATATTTATGTTAGGAGTCCCATGTAATAGGGGGTGAGCCTATTGCCATATACCGGGCACAATTTCAGACTCCATGCTACTGCACTCAGTAACTGAGAATATTTTAAAAATACCCAGTAATACTTTGCCTGACCCGGAATCGAACCCGAGACCCCTGGCCCGGCAGTCGCACTTACGACCACTCGGCCAACGACGCAGTCTATTGGTATTTTTTATGAATTTATTCTTTTTACAATGTCATCAGGTATTGTGGGTATCATGAATATAGAATTAGATATTTTTATAGTTAATGTCACAATCATTTTGATTTTGAAAATGTTGGTTAAACGATTCTGATATTTGTCCTGGATTAGTAATAATTTTCCATGTAGCCTTATTCTTGTTTTCGGAAAGATTTATAAAGTGACTTTTTTTAGTTTAATTTTGTTGTATAAGCTAGGTGTTTTTCGATATTACCACAGCATGTTTCTTTTTTGCTCAGAGCATTTTTTTGATTCCCGCTGTTATCCACTTGGGCCTTTTTGTTACTGAGGTCCTTATTTTATTGATCGGAAAGCATAAATTATAAAATAGTTTATATATGTCGTAGAACTCATTAAATGCATCATTGGGTTCGTGGCAGTTATATTTTGAATGCATTCGTAGAATTTTTTCATATTTTCGTCACTAAAGTCGCGTTTATATATAAACCAGTGTGATAGTACGCATGTTTTTTTGACCCTACACTTTAAGAGTTGAGCTGTGTGGTCAGTATTAGCTATATAGAGGTATATTCCTTGATCTCACATCCGCTCCCTCTCAGATTATGGATAACGGCAGGTTCCGCTACATAGGCGTGTCGGTGATCGATGTCGGGCCCAGAATGAGGTTATAGCTTCGCAATACATTTTGAGAAGATAACAATGTTAAGATATAGAACAACCTACTTACGTGAGAAAGTTTTGGAAGACTCTCGGCTTAGAGCGGTAGTAGGAGTAGGAGATGGTGGCGCGGTAGAGCTGGCGGCCGCAGGGCACCGCGCAGTCACACTCCATCGAGTCCTGCTGCTCCTGCTGCAGCGACTCGTGCGCGACCTCGCCGGGGTACACGTACATGAACTTCTCTGTTAGTACACAGTAGGCAGTAGCGACGGACGGCTAGTGTTGCTCACGAGTGTCTCCGTACTTACCTCTGTGTTTGTTGAGGCACGCGAGTTCGTTGAGCGTGCAGGTTGCGGCCGCGCGCGGCTCGAACTGCGGCTGCAGCGTGTACGGCACGCACTTGCACAGCGCCTCCGCGGTGTCGCGCCGGCAGTCCGCCAGGCACTGCGACGCGCCCCTGCGGCCCAGGCGGCACCCGCGCTGCAACAGTGCCCGTCGGCCTGAGTCCCGGCAGGCGCGGCTAGTGCCGCGGCAGTGCGTGCCTCACCCTGGGCTCGGAGTAGGAGCCGACCTCGTCCGTGGGCTGCTGCGTCACCGCCTGGATGTTGAAGTAGACGGATGCATTGATCGGCAGCGGGTACACGCGCACGTCACCACTCTCCACGATCGGAAACTCGCTACCCTCGAACAACAGCACCTATCAAATTGAAAATAATTACACTCCTGAAAGATAGACTGGTATAATAGGAAGATCATTTACTTGATAACTGACTAATAAAATAAACAATGTATTAAGCATAAAAAATGTACGAAAGAAGAGAAGTTAATTTATGAACAAGTAGTGCGAATGCGAACCAAGCGATACTAAATAAATCATTAAACAGCGTGCTCCACCTCCATTCCATATGCAGGTCGCCTCATGTAAGCGAAGTCGTTCTGCACCTCGTGTAAAACGACGCCGAGCCCGAAGTCCTTCCCAGTCTTGTTTAGCACCAAAGGCTGGCGGCCGAAGTCTGCGGCTCTGGATGTTGGACAAACAACTTGTTTGTACCGACATAATATTGGTAATATGGTAATGTGTACGTGTCATGTATTATGTTCTCACTGGTATCTCGAGTTAAAGACGCAGCAGAAGCCGAGTGCCGTCAGTCTGGTCGCGAACATGTGCTCGCAGTTTTGTACCTTGCCCCGCCACGAGCACCGGACCAGGATCGTCGAGCAGTTGGCTGAGAACTAGACGATAAAGTCAACTGAGTGTTGTCGCGCAGCACTATTGTATAGAAGGTGCACTCTCTCTTCACTCGCTTTCATGATACGATATACGCCTGGCAACCTCAACCTCTGCGCCTGTTTCAGCACCTTCATATACGTACCCAATATACATACGTGACGTAAAACTCATACAAATTATCATATTAATTCAATCTGATATACATATAACGGCTATTAGAATCCGGTTGGAAACTCAATCATCCTGAAGGAACTAGTTTATAGGAATGCGGACGGTATCATGGTTCATACTCTGTACATGATGTCGGTGATGTTGAACTGCGGCATGCTCTCCCGTATGAACTTAGTGAACACGAAGTCGACCTCGGTGTACGCGTAGCTCAGCAGGGCGCCCATTTTCAGGAGATGGTCTTCTATCTGAGCCTCGGAGTATTGATACCGCTCGCGCTGGTTGGTGGGTGCGCTGAAGATTATAGCTATCTATTTACAAATACTGTTGGATGCGCTAGTAAATATATTATTTATTATTGGTAAATTATAATTCATCGCTTTGAACATGAGAAGAAAGAAAAAGAAGTGTCCATCTACTGTCTACTTCAACTAGGTACTATTTTTTTATTTAAACGACAGATGGATCATCTGATGGTAAGTAATCGGCGCCGCCTAAAACACCAAGGCGTTATAAATGCGTTACCGCCCTTTTGGGAACTGGGAATTTGTGTATTGTGGAGGATTCGGAGATTGAGAAGACTGTGAAGGGCGGGGGGGGGGATTGGGCCTCTCCGTTAACCTCACTCACACGACGAAACCCAACGCAAGCGTTGCTTCATGTCGGTTTTCTGTGAGGCCGTGGTATCACTCCGGTCGAGCCGGCCCATTCGTGCCGAAGCGTATATATTACTAACTTTATTTTAGGTAACATTCAGTCGGTACTGAAAGTGACACAGTTTACTTAACGAAGTATTCAAACTTTATGTACCTCTATACCTATGTAAATACCTCTACTGAAAGTATTAGTATATAGACAAAAGCGCAATCCAGGAGAGGGAGTGTAGTGGAAACTGAAACTAATGTGAGTGCTGTCAGGACAGACGAGACTGCGTACGTGTACAGGTGTCGCGTGAGGTTCCGCAGCGCCGCTCTGCTGATGACCTTGTTGCTGCAGATGGCGACCGCCGGGAACGGAGCGTGCGCCACTGACGCGGCGTACTTCTGCACGTACAGCGGCGGTCGCGACTGGTACTGCAGCGTGCCGTCCGCCAGCGCCGCGCAGCCCAGCGCGAACGTCAGCAGCACCAACAACAAGTTGCGCCACCTGCCACCGCCGCGTTATACTATCACCTGGATGTGCTCACTGAGAGGATGGTGCTGCGGCCCGAAGCTATTCAAAATTTCCAACAATCGTCACTTCATGGGACTAACAATAAGCAGTAGCCGGTACAACTTACTTCTTATATTTATTATTGACATCGTCATGTTTCATGTACTTGACGAACCCAATAGAGCAGTGCTGCCAGTACTCGGCGGCGGCGTCCCTCATGCTGGCGCGCAGCGTGCGCTCCAGTCCGGGCTGGAGCTGTGACGTCACCATCCCCGGCCGGAGCCGTGACGTCACCAGCCCCGGCCGGTGCAGGCGGCGGGCCCACAGCTCCGGGTCCACTGTCCGCATCGCGCTGTTATACTGACGTCACCAGTAGCGGTACGTTAATATTTAAGTATATGTAGCTCATGTATCACTAGTGTAGTTCAGTTTGAGTGACTGTGTAAGTAAGTACTGTAAGCACAGAACGTGGAGCACCTTCGTGACTACTTCTCGTTTTGACTATTTGTGACCGGCTGCGGTTGAATTATTAACCGTATAATTACTTATTTACACTGTCATACCTATATAAATAATAAATGTAGTTATAATGAAATCCCATTAAAATTTCACATCAATGTGAGTTTATAGTTTTATATAAACATTTAAAATAGATATGGGGAAATGTATTTGGCATTTGAAAAATTAATGTTTATTTGTTAACCGACTTCCCAAAAAAGAAAGAGGTTCTCAATTCGGCTGTTTGTTTTTTTTGTGTGTATGTTACGCGATTACTCCGGCGTTTGTAGACGAATTTTGATGATTCTTTTTTTGTTGGAAAGGTTATACTTTCAGGATGGTCCCATTTCCACCAGGTCAGGATCTGATGATGGGATCCCATGGAAACCGAGGGGAACTTTTCAAAATATATGGGTGGCGCGAGCGTTTGTTAACTTTTTTGATATGGTATTTGAAACTAGGTACTACAATTTGATGAAGGTATGAAGTTGATCTGATGATGGAGTCAAGAGACAGCCGAGGGAACTCCTCGAGAATTTGTAGCAATGACCCCGTGTTTGGGCTTAAATTATTTTTATTGAGAAGATCTTTACATCTAGATTACATGTAATTGTCATTAGGGGACTGATGATAAAGTAGTATGATAGCTAAGGGAACTCCTCAACGTTTAACCGTAGCTACCTGGTGTTTAGGCTTGATTAATTTGTATTGATGAGAACTTTACACCTAAATGGGGTATGACTGTCAATAGGGGCCTGATGATGAAGGATTATGATAGCTAAGGGAACTCCTCAACGGCTGACAGTAGCTACTTGGTGTTTGGGCTTTATTAACTAATTTTGATGAGAACTCTACATCTAAATGGGGTGTGTTTGTCATTAGGGGCCTGATGATGAAGTAATACGATAGCTAATTACTATTAACCGTTCACCTGATGTTTGAGCTTGAATAATTTGTAATGATGAGAGCTTCACACCTATGTGGGATATGCGTAGTATACTGGGTTTATATGGCCCTGAATAAACTAAAAAGCATAAAAATAAAAACAAAAACTGCATTTAAAAAAACCGATTTCGAAAACCAAAAACAAGCAAAAGGTAAAAGTAAAAAGCAAAAAATAACTATTATTAGTTACGCAGTTTTTGTTTTTTTAAATTTTTGTAATGGCTTTGTAGCTAACGTACTACTACGTACAACGTACTACTACGCCGCTACGCCGCTACGCGAAGTGCTACGACAGTCGCGCAACACACGCGCTGATACAGCTGTTCATAAATTACGTCACACGAATTTCATGATTTTTTGCCCCTCTCCCCGTCCTTGTCACAGTTAGTCACATTTGTGAGACCCCCCCCCTTAGAGTGACGTCACATTTTGCAGAAGTACGTAACGTAAGTATAAAAATTATCGAATGAAAACACTGGTTCTGAAAACAGTTTTATTTCTATTTAAGTTACTTTAAAAAAATATAAATAACAAATCAAACAAAATAAAAAGCATTAATACAATTATATTTCATGTTTTATAATAGTTTTATAAAATGTGACATCACGAAGTTTAGGATCCCTCCCTCCCCCTTAACGTGTGACGTAATTTATGGACGGCCCGTAAGTAGTGATCCTAGTGATATAGTCAAAGTGCGAAAGTTTGTGAGGATGTGTGTATGTGTGTGTGTGTGTGTGTTACTCTCTGGCGTCAAAACGACTGACGAGTTCGAGATGTAATTTGTAACAGGCGCACCTTTATACCCCACGGCCACGCGAGCAGCCGCGGGCACAAGCTAGTCGGCATACATGTACATATGCATATGCATATGTACATGTATGCCGACTAGCTTGCCGTGCGTGCCGAGCGTGCCAAGCGTGCCGTGTATATAAACGGCACGCTTGGATCGGAAATAAACACACGAATGCTTTGGTAACTTTTATTTCATTCGCATCAGTTTTTAAATGATTAATTTCACATGATTTACTCATATAGATACATATATAGGTACATATCAAACGTAGTAACTCATTGCCTGTAAAATATCTTGTAATAGAATAATGAAATTGCGAGAAAATAAGAAAATTACATAATTATGTACCTCTACATGTTGTCATTAGACGTCTGTAGATACAACTCTAACTAACTATACATATAGGTATATCACACAACTCATGTCACCACACTCCTCACACTACAGCGTAATGATTTCATACCTCCTAGAGAAATTAGGTACAATTATTGTATTGTATATGGTCAAAAGCTCACTAGCTCAAATAAATTTAGGCTTTCATTCATAACATTAATGAGAAAATAAATATTAAACATTGAATACAATAACAACTAGCGCAGAGCCTGTGGCTGCGCTACCCGCGGGTCCCCCGAGGTCAGGCTTCACTTCAGTACAGCTCTAACTAAGGATAGCACCCTCACTCAACCAAGTTGACTATACAATATAATCTCCACACATTTATTTGTGTGACATAGTTGACGTCAACTCAGTGTTCCTGTCCTGCAGATCCATCTCCATACATCGTTAGCTAACTCTGTCGCCGTGTCATTACTTACATTTAATGTAACTTCAGTACAAGTCGCTGACCAGAACGCGATTTTAAATCGTCGCCACGACTACTGCTAACTTTGTTTTCTGAAAACTTTGTAAACACACGACGGACATACATACAATCATTAAAATTAACTTAATCAACTAGTTACAACAGCGTTCGTACTGGTGCAATCGTTGTTCAACTCCACTAGACAAATGGTATCAAGCCAAACACCAGTTGAATGGAATACAGTACATATTTGAATGTATGTGATGGACTGACGGACATTTTGTTTGGACACGAGTTGTAGCCATTCGTCTAGCGGGGCTGGAGACACATACAAACCGCACTGTGCGATACATATTCTATTGTAAACATTAATACACTGAGATACTACACAATACGTAATCGAACTATTTACATCAGAGATTTCTGTTGTGTCAAAAATATTAAATATTTTTGTAAAATTACATCTACGTAACTAGGTATTACAATTAACTGTACAATATTTTGTTATAAACAAACATGAGAAGCTCTGTTAATTTGCTACAACTATACATTTACATCAACATAATCTATCTCTAGCACATTCATTGTGTTGGAGTGTTCCGTACATTCAATTTATACAGAGTAATAAATGTTGTCGATCCAGACTGTATTAGAAGTGTATTATAAGTATTCATTTCTTGTGAATATTTGAGAAAAGGGGGTCAATAACACTGTTTGCTCCCCAGTGCCTATATGTAAATGATTATAACTGTTGTTAATTGTAATTATTATGTTTGGAGACCCTCTCTTGAACGCAACAATTGTTATGGTGGTGGTACAAGTTACGTTGTAACTTGTACCGTACAGTATAACCCGGTCCCATACGATCAACGCTACTAGGCACACCAATGTCGGTTCTCACCAACCTCTTCTAAATTCCAAGGAACCCCTAAACTAAGGTAGGGGACATTTAACGATATTTTGGTTTGATGACACAAACAGTATAAGTAAAGGGTTAGTTCAAGTGCTACGTCGCGCTAAGTCAGTTTTAGTGGTGGTTGGTGGAAACAGCCGGAACAGCATTACATTATGCATTGCAGCATATTAAAATAGATACTTACATACTTGTTAATTTATACTTTTATAATGAAGTAAATACTTTATATTTTACATATAAGTACTTACATATAGGTAGACAGTACAGTATAGGTAGTGCCTAACAAAATAAGTATTTACACCTTTATAAACTTCAAAGTGAAAGAGGTGGCACTGGTACAGGCTGTTTACTGTACGCCGCGCGGTCAGACCAAGGCGGGCGCGGCGGGCTCCGGGCGCGGCGCCAGCTGACGTCACAGCCGCGCGGTCAGACCAAGGCGGGCGCGGCGGGCTCCGGGCGCGGCGCCAGCTGACGTCACAGCCTCGCCACCACCAACAGCGCACCCACCACTAGCAGGCACAGTCCGCTCACTCCCGCGCGACTCGACTCCGACAGGATGCTCTTCCCTGCAAATGTCACGTATTGATTAGTGTATGTACATTAACTAACAAAACAAGTATAATGTACTGCCACCCCCAGTACGCAGACTGGAGATGGAGGGCTGTCTTAGTGCCAAGACGCGGCGACAGTGCTTACATCGCTCGGCCAGCCGGCGATGGCAGCAGCAGTCCCGCAGGCGCGCGTACTGCGCGCAGTCGTGCGCCAGCGGGCGACAGCGGCGCGCGCCCACGTAGCAGGTGTGCGGCAGCCAGGGGAAGGGCTCGCGCACGAAGCGGCGCTCGCAGCAGCAGTGGTCGGCCAGCACGCGCGTCTCGCAGTACGAGTGCTCGCGCTCGCTGCACGGCCCGCAGCCCGGCCGCGTCGGGGGGACTGCGCACACATTACACTTTCGTTTTCATGAAAATTGCATGGAAAACTATGCTTCATGTCACCTATATGACATATTTTGGAATTGAAATGCGGTGGAGTTGCTGAGTATCTCAGTGTGAAGGTCACATCACCTATTGATTACAGCGGCAGTGTCCGATGTCATTGAGTGCGGCTGCACGGACCGTACGAGTCATTGCCAGGCTAGTTATTATTCGAGGATGACACACGATCAATGCAAAACTTACGTCACAGAACAATAGCACCCAGTTAAGGCCGGCGAGACACAGCGCAGCGCCTCAGCAAGAGGCTATGTGGTCTAGGTACATTCTACGCTTACTTGAGGTCGCTACGAACTGATGCGATGGTAGAATTGTAATTAGTGCATAATCTAACAATTTTTTTGGCTTTTGTCCGGAATATAGCGTCTCACGAATCAGCTTAAAATAGCTCTTTCAAAATGGGTGTAATGCTAGTCGTTTAACGATGTACCTACGCCTTTTTCCAATCAATAAAGATATAAAAATTGGTGTATGTCTAGGGAACTAAGCAGTAACAACATTAAACCGACACCGAACTAAGGGAACATCAGAATTGATCAGACACCGTGACACCAACACTACCCGCACGCGAGCACGTGCCACTGAGCTTAAATGCGCCAATATAATAATGATGCAGGCCCGACTTGTAGAGGTAGTGATGGTGGGGTCACACCTGCGAGGCTACAGGACACATATCTGTACTACATGTACACTATCAGCACATTGTATGTATTGTTAGTAAGTTACAATGTCGGTTATGTTACAATACAGTTGTGGATAGTTCGTGTTATGTGACATCTGACACACCGGTACATCCAACACTGGTGTGTACTAACAGCGGAGTAGAAGATAACGTCAATGTTTACGATCTCAGTAGCAACCAGCAATTGATGTAGGTAGATGATGTGTGCAACATCGCGGTGTACCGTGTCAGATGGTGGCGCATGTGCAGGCCGCGCGCTCCGGCATCGATTGCCGAGCCACGCCCGCGCCGCGCCGAGGGAACCACACTGAGGTTGCTGCATCGTTACTAGCAAGCAATTACATCGAATCACGCTAATTATAATACTCATCAAAGCTTTGGCGCTTACGATACTTATACACGTAGGTATTACTATACCACTCAAAATACTGTCTAAGTGTGAAACAAGCGATTATGATGATAGCAGTCGATTTTCCAGTTTATTGAAATAACACAAAAGTGCAACGGCTCAATAGTCACGGCCCTGGATTGAAGGTTACACCCGACGCTCGGCTTACGTGATGCGACCAGTGGCCGGCAAGAAGGCGCGCGGCGCTCAATCTTCCTTCTCGATTGAAAGTTATAATATCTAATTAGGTTAGTATGCTCTATGAGATATGAGACCGCGCAGTATGGCCAATAGATCGTTAGGGCTGGTTGGGGCGGTGCACGCGGACTTGGTGCGGACGTGTATGTTTACATGATCACTTCCATAATATAGTAGATACGCCACCATGTACTGTCTCACGGCCGCACCGACATTGACACCGCTGGACAATGCTGTGACAGGCCGGGCGGCCGCCCCCGGGCCTCGCCGGCTCCCTCGTCACACGCCCACTGACCTTCCATCCTAGCATAATGTGCACTTGCAGCGCGTAATGTATGGGGACGAAGGATTGCCTTATAATTACATGAATTAACTTGTACATTACATTCCGGTGTGAGTATATGTACATGTGACATGTTGTTGAGCATTTACTTTGTTTTTTACCGACTTCATGGAAAACACAAACTTGATGATTTTAAAACTTTATACGCGACTGTGGTCTATGGAGTTACTTTCTGTGATTTTATCACTTTTTTTTTAAGGGTGGAAAATGATCGAATGGCTGCTCCCGCCTGGTAAAAACGACCCCGTTCCTTCTCCTGCACGTCGAGCCGAAGCCCCGGTAACCCGTTAGGTTCTCCGCGACGTGATTTACTCACTTAGCTTAATATCGAGATATGGACGCGTGCTGCTGTTTTAAAGCTCATATTTACAGAAACAAATAAATAATAATAATTTCACATTACCGAACCTTTGCCTTACACTAATCAAATTTTCTGAGTGGAACTTAACATAACATCACGCTTTTTATCCCCGAAGGGGTAGGCAGAGGTGCACCCCTTCCCCGGCAGTCGCACTTTTTACGACCACTCGGCCAATGAGGCAGTCACTAAATCTTGAGTGATGAGTGAAACTTAATCCGCGCATTCATAAAACGGCCCTACAATGGTTAAAGTTAACGAGGGAACCAACGTGAGCTGTCTGTGTAAAGGATTTGTCGTTATTTTAACAATGTTCTGTCAGCTATCAGTCTGAATCAACAAATGAGTTTAAATACAGCTCCCAGTAATGTCTCAGTATCAATGTCAGTATTGTGATAACATCTGAAGCACGAGATCAGCCTGTAATTGTAAAGTAATTGTCGTGTAACTGCAGTGCAATTACGTGGCGACTAGAGACTAGACACGCGGCAACCGCACATTACACTGGCGACTGGGCACCCGGACTCCGCACATTACTGGCGACTTGGCACCCGGACTCCGCACATTACTGGCGACTGGACACCCGGACACCGCACATTACTGGCGACTGGACACCCGGACTCCGCATATTACTGACGACTGGACACCCGGACTCCGCACATTACTGGCGACTGGGCACCCGGACTCTGCACATTACTGGCGACTTGGCACCCGGACTCCGCACATTACTGGCGACTGGACACCCGGACTCCGCACATTACTGGCGACTGTACACCCGGACTCCGCACATTACTGACGACTGGACACCCGGACTCCGCATATTACTGGCGACTGTACATCTGGACTCCGCACATTACTGGCGACTGTACACCCGGACTCCGCACATTACTGACGACTGGACACCCGGACTCCGCACATTACTGGCGACTGGACACACGGACACCGCGCTTACTTTGACACTTTGAAAAAGCCTAATAAAACTTTCCTGCATTTAATTATTGTAGCGTGTACGACTGTACGTGCGACAATGTATAATTGTTGATAGACTCAAATTAATATCTTCCAACTTATGACAAATTCCCGATTAAAGCGATCGAGTGTTACCACGGGAGAAACAATCATAAAGCAGAGAGCTCTAGGTTTAATTATTATTCGTCCAATAAGTCATTCTGGCACGCGTACTATATGGGGTTTAATCGTTTATCGGAAAACATTGCGGAAACCAGCAGTTTTTTAAAACTTACCCTTTAGTAAAACATTTTAAGACCTTTTTTACAAAGGGCTTTTTTTTTTTACTTATAAGACTTATCAACATAACACCGTGTGTACTGGCAGCATGGCCGCGCCCGGCGTATCACATGTCGTGTCGTTATAACGAGGGATCTTCTTCCAATGACCGCATCATCGCCACTGTAATACTACCGCGTATTGTTGGTGCCTCTAGCAAACTCCACATACAAGCATTGTGTACTGTGTTCTTATTCCTACATGTCGGACACAAGCTTGTAGTCGTGTCCGCGGAAAGGGAACACACCGAAACCGAATGGAGTATGGACATAATACGCAACACGCATGAATACAAATCAAGGAGTTGCGCACAAATTGTTTTTTTTTATCTTATTAGTCGTTACTTTACTTGAAAGCATACTATATTGGTCGCATTGAAATACCTAGATTATCTATACATTTTTCAGTTTGTATCTTAGTATGATTATGATTAGAGTTCCATTTTAAACAAGGTTATTTTAAGCGGATTGTAGAAGAAAATACGTGTAAATAATGCAACATGTAAGTCGTTAACAAACACAACCAATAAATAAAAAGAATGAAACAGATCAATTAAAAGAAGTTTTAGCACATATTATCTTATCTATAAATAGTACAGTGTGTGACTTATGGCTGAGTATTATTCGTGAGTCGCTGTCGCGGAGAACCTAACGGGTAACCGGGGCTCCGGCTCGACGTGCAGGAGAAGGAACGGGGGGTGGTTTTTAGTCAGTAAGGGTCTGACACTCCCTCCCGCCTCACCCAGGCGGGAGCAGTCATTCGATGATTTTCCCCCTTAAAAAAAAGTCTAAAGTCATAGATTATATCTGATGTTACCCTGATGATCACTTTCATTAACTGCATCTTGTACTATTACCTACTAATCCTATACCTAGTAGTCCAAAATTATGTTACATGCTCTCTTTATCACGCAAAAATCAACTGGTGGACAAAGCATTAAGTAAGACCACCTCATAAAATATGTTTTGTTTTATTATTTCGATAAACAAAATGAAATATGGCAATATGATGTGTCCGTAGCAGTAGACCTGTGACCCTCGGCTCACGGCTCACGTTGTTAATCCCGCGTCCTTGACTATTGTTCTAATTTGTGAGCTGACTGCTGACTACCGATTAATTGGAGTAACTCAAGCAATTGTGGTTGCGTCACTTACTTCGCTCGATTTGTGTTAGGAATGGCGACGATTCATTTCGAATTTTAGATCCCGGATTATTATCATAGTAGATGAATGATATAACGTTATGTTTATGTTCAAGAGATATTAATATATTAATGGAGACTATTCTTTGGTCAAAGCGGTCGCTAAGCTGTAGTATTTTCGCTTTTTAAGTAGGCAAAGAATAGTTGAGATATTCGATATTCAAAAATTCTCGTAACATAAAGACCATGGACTCGCCTGCATGGGATTTACTAACATGTTTGACCAAACCTATTGTAAGTCGCAACAGCTGGGTACTAGTGTTAGTACAATATGGTACGTACTGTCTTCGACGTTAAGGTCGGCGGCGGCGCGGCGCGCGGCGGCGGTGGACACGTCGTGCTCCACGAAGTACTCCTCGTAGCGCACCTCCAGCAGCGCGTCGTCGGCGCCGGCGCCCGCCCAGCGCTCCGACTCGTTGCCGCGGGACCCGTTGCCGCGCCCCGTGCCCACCGGCTTGGACGCTGCCGCGTGCCGCACCTGCACCACCACGGAGAGCATCTAGTAAACATTCTTTGGGGCGTACGTATGTATTGTGTACACTAGGTATCACATTCTGCACTTTGTTTCCTATCGTATAATAGGATGTAATAGAACTTGGTTCACCAGTACTTCGGGCACCCTAAAGATGACGTCAGCGGCGATGGCGGTGGCCAGCAGCGGCACCAGTGCTACCGCGGCGGCCGCCAGCCAGAGCCACGGGCGTCGCGCGCGCCTGTGTGACACCATACCATCGCTCGCGCAGCACCCTGCACACGCTGCAACATAACATAGGTACACATGTCTTCAGTGTTGAAAACTTGCGAAGCAGACACCGGCGCGTCAAGGCGCAACTTTTGGCACACGCACAATTCGTACGAGCTGATGCGCTTGTCAGCTCGTATAAGCGTTCTGAACTAAAAGTTACCAAAGTAACTTTTAGTTCAGAATGATGTTAAGAGTGATAATATGGCAATCCTATCCAAGTGCAGAATGAAATCATGTTCCACGTTGACTGCATACGTACAAACAAGTGGTGACTTCTATTGTCTAGGTAAGTATCATTTCGTTTAGCGTATGAATGTGGCAAATAAAGGCTGAGTGTTGTACAAATGGCTGCATTACTTGATACTTTCGAGCATACTGTCATGTCCTACGGCAACACTGGCCGTCAAGTAACACAACGTGAGAAGTTCCAACAAAGCTACATTGCTATGGACTGGACTGTCTGGACACTTGAAGGGAACTGTGTAGAAAATATCTCCTGGCTGTCACGATGTAATTTAGAACTTAGATTGAAAACTGTGTTTTATTAAAAATTGGGATAGGTATCAAAATATTACATTCGATTTCCAATTTCAGTGGTTATATCTCTGGAACAAGCTAGGGTTGAGCAGTGGGCCTTCTGCGTCTTGCATTGTGCAGTGGGAAGTTGCAGTAACCAGTGATTAGGATGCGCTGCACGTTCGCGTCCAGCTAGCCGTCGTAGTGAACGCATGCCAACATTGGCAACCACTCGGCTGCACGATTAGTGCGCCGCGCCGCGCCGATGTCACCAGTAGGTACCCGCGACCTGAGACCGCTCTCTAGGTACTGCTCGCGTCTACTACTGGTACTAGCACACTTATCAATACATAGTATAAAACAAAGTCGCTTTCGCTGTATGTCCGTATGTATGCTTAGATCTTTAAAATTACGCAACGGATTTTGATGCGGTTTTTTTTAATAGATAGAGTGATTCTTAAGGAAGGTTTGTATGTATAATACATGCATATTGCACCCGTGCGAAGCCGGGGCGGGTCGCTAGTTATATTATAAAAAGCACATATAAGATAAATTACACGAGTATGTGAAAGACATTCCCTGTATTGAATGAAATTAGAGAAAGTTGTTAGGTTATGTTCAACCTACATTTCATGTTCCCTTTTGACTCACGTATTTTTCACTGTGGTCGGGAAACATAATAATAATATTTCTGAATGTGCGTATTGATGTCATATCATAAGTAATCAGGTCGCAGGAAAGTAGTGTGAGCCTGTGAGGGTCCGACGAGTCCACGAGGTTCCAGGCACGTACAGCGGCCACTAGCTCACTGACATATTTTCTGAGTTACATCGCCGCGATGTTTGTTGATATAAATCAATTTTCCACATTAACACAGCGATACAAAGTTATAAGCTACTAGGAATTAACCAATCTGGTGTTAAATATTATTTTGCAAAACCTGAAAGAGAAATGAATACATGTGACCAAAGTAAACAGGAAAATAAATAAATGGGTAATAAATGTTGTCGTCGTGAGAATCGATGCGAGACCAATGAGCCAGTGTTGAGCAATCGACGACAAAAACGCGGCCTTCAATGAACTCTCGAACAAATTGTAACTGATCACGTAAAGCGAACGAGAAAACACCGCGAGATTGTATTATACACAGTTAGACTTATAGTAGAAATGATTTGCTACAACCGAATGTTTACCTCTACAAAGATCTTTGTGAAATCGTCAGAGCTAAATATTACACGAATGTTTGCTAATGTTATAGTAAACAGTGTTCTAACGAGCGCATAAACATGCTCACAGATATAGTTCAATAAATCAATAGTATTGTGGAAGATGACGCCGCGGCCGCTGCTCGGACGGTTATTGTTTCAGATGTTCTGCAAACGGTTTAAGAGTTTACAATTATTTCCTTTGAACATTGTGAAACATGATGGAGAAAATGTCGTAAGATCCGAGTACTGCCAACTCATTAGTCATATTCGTTTTAATTTTTTTCGAAATCCGTATTGTTGGTATTCTCTAGTGCATATTCCAATACTTTAGATATAGCTACACATGTATGTAAGTATAGCATAACACCTTCAAACTTTTTATGTGCTTAGATACGATTTATGACAATGTAAAGTGGCTAGACGAAGTGTTTCGACGATTTCAGATAATGCTGCCTCAAGGACCGGACTATAAACCACTCGCCACTCATCGTCCTATAAAAAGATCAATAAACTGTTGCCGTTAGACTGTCGTAAACCAAAAATATTATTCACCTTGAAACGTATAAGAAAACGATTTGAAAATTATTTCGATAGCAGATACATTTTGCTCGCATTTCAATAAGTTTTCTATTTTTTGCGAGCCATCACCTCATCGTGTTTGTTCGAGCCGGTAACGGCTGCACCCATACCTAATAATTTCATCATTTCAATTACTTGAAAACAAGTCAAAGGCAAAAATAATGAAAGATTGACAATGATACGTGTCTACTCGTAGCTGACAGGGTGTCAGTCGCGTCCGCCGTCCGCTAGGGAGCGGCCAGCGGGCAATCAAACAGATTGTAAAACATTTTGCTTTGCTTTCGGAGAAATGGTGTCTGTTTAACTGACCTTTATTGTAGCTAAACCATTGCTTTGAAGTAACGTAAGTAACCTGGAATTGCGAAACTAAACCAAATAGTTTCTCTAATCTTACAATATTTAAAACCACTGAACGAGCAAAATATTCAGAAGAATAGCTAACTAGAACTTAGGGCTCGACTAACTGACAGATAAATGAACATAATGAATTATTTACAATATTACGGGGAACCTGCAGGTTGGAGGATCCGAATGTGTATATTGTATGTGTGTACGTCCACAGCTTTGTAAGATGTTTGTAAAATGACACTCGGTGATGGCTTGGATCCTGTATAGTCGCCGCTACTGGATACCACTTTGTGCTTGATGTATTTATTATATTTCCGGCAATTATTGTATGAAAAATGTTCCTGAGTTATTTAAATGAGGTAGTGTCTAACACATGCGTTCCGTTGGTATAGTTGCCACTTGCCACAAGCTCGAGCTTGGTGGACAGTGGAGTAGTACTTGTTGGAGGATCGTTGGAGAGGCGCAATATGTTCAGAAGTGATGAGGTAATCAGGTAAACTTACACCGAAGTGTATGCAGCACTCGCAGGTTGTACCGGTGTCACGGTGTCACGGTATCACGGTTACTACTAGTTACTTAACAAAAAGATACAGCTTTGTACTCGGTGACACTGACTGGCGGTTGAGTGGAGTGCTGGTGTTGACACTGCTATCTTATCAGGACGAGTCTGTGCGCCGCGGGCGTTCGTACCGAGCGCACCCTACTACCACTCTATCTCACACAGTACCTGTACGTATATAGTACGTGTGAATGAAGCTCTTGCGTCCATACTGATAACGATAAGCTCGGGTTTACGATGATGCAATACCTGGGTACTTGTGTTCAAAGATCCGTGTAACTTGTTTGTTTTAAGTAGAACTAAGTTACCGTCATTGAAGTATGTATGACGTAACAGGGAGGTGCAGCAGTTTGGGGCTCGCCGTGTTTGTACACCGACTTGAGTACAAAATATAAAGGTATACGTACTTTGGTTTAAAATGTACATACATTTCACATTGACTTCAATCGTTAGGGCGCGGCGACAGCGGCGGCTTACAAACGCTATTTTTAATGTAAAACTTGAAGGCAAAGTTTTCAGTTAATCATTAATTTTCCCTATAAATAATGACTTGTATTATTTATACAATTAATTAATATGCTGCCTGATAGTCTGTCAGCCAGTGACTGATTCATGACCGTACATCGCAAAGAAATAAAACAACAATATAGACTGACTATTGACTAACACAAAAAACAAAATTGCAATAATAGACATAGCGGGCTGCCGTAGTGCGCGGTGCGGTCTTATATTCATAGTACATAACAGTAGCGGACACTCGGACAGCGGTAGCGGTAGCGGTAGCCGGTACACAGCTTGCCGCTGGCCGTCAGCTGGGTGACGTGGCACTGGAAGACAATCTCAAATTCTTTCAGTACGTAGTTACAGTACGATTATTTTACAGTTGCTTGCTTATACCAAACTGTTTTCTTATTGTTTTAGTAATAATTGTTCGTAAAACATCATATAGTAGGTATAGCACTGCGTTCAGCTCACCGCGCGCGCAGGTGTAGAAGTTGTAGGACAATGACGATTGATATGAATCACGTCGTGTGCGCCTGCGCGCAACACACCGCATCCATGTATCAATCAGCGCGTTACTTACAAATTGTAGCTCACGTATAGGTACACCACCTGCTCGTGGTGGTACATAATGTATGTGCTCGTATCAATCTCTATAATGTATTGGCAATAAACGCCATCCCACGTTATCCATCAGGTAGGTAGGTAGGTAGGGGAAGAGATCCCATCAATTTTGTATCGTACAACAACTAAAGTGACGAGCTGAGTAAATGCTGGAACATATGTATCTGAAGGGACTACTTTACTACCATATTAAACATTTGATGATGAAGGTGTTTGTTAAATGTTCAGTCAATCAGTCCGTTGTCGTTGCTTCTTCAGTGACAACTTTTCGGTAACAATGTTCACCGCATTATTAGTGGTGCACATACTTCCTCATTAACCTAATTTTAAAGTTAATATCTAATATCTTTATGATAGGTATATATTTTTTATGTAATCAGGATTTACTTCAGATACACGTGGGCAAAGTTGTAAGCAGTAGTAAGAGAAATAATGCTACTTTAGATAGGTTAAGTATAAAGTTTTTTCTAGAATCAAAGAGAGAGAGAGAGCAACAAGCTCCGCTGGTTAGATCCAACATCCAAGGTGTTGATATTACGACCGAGTGAAAGAAGTTATCTAGCTATCACCATCATTACTTATGCTCCACCGGGCACAGAGACGCGGCGCAATTGTCTCATGGACCGTGACCGAAGTACTTTGACACGGTGTTCGTAACTAAAGGAATTATTGCAAA